TTTGCATGTATACGCTTGAACTTTGTTAAATAACGTTTCGATTTGTTCCACTTTTCATGCGGTTTTTTTTTTAAATTATCAATAATCTTGAGAACCAAATTCTTATCTTGGGCTAAAAGATTCTCACCCAAAAAGTATTTGTTGGCTGTCACGTTTTCTAGGGTATAAAGGGCCCTTTGATTTTAAAATTTCGAATAGGTCGATACGCCTAATCGTCGCGGATTTGTCTGTAAAAATACAAATTGATGTAGAACGGGAAGGGGCGCGTGGTGGCAAAAGTTTTTTGATTTTTTCGAAAAAAAAAAACTAGGCAAGAAGATGGTGTTAATATCTAGCAGTCGCAAATAGTCGCAAAAAAGTTCTACTCTGCTATACAACAATGCTGCCGCATTTAGACTTTAATTTTCAATGTATACTTAACTGAGCGGCATAAAAACTCTTTTTCACTGAATATCATAAATATATGTAAAACATACACTACAGAAATATGCAGCATTTTTTGAAGGTTCTAAAACTCACAACACATTATTTCACAGAGCAATTAATACTGCAAACAAAACTGAGGTATCTCTAAAGGACGCTAAATGGTTAAAAAAGAAATTTGGGTCATTAAGAAATTTGAATTTTTGAACTTCAGATTTGCATTTTCCATCACGCAGCGTTTCCATAATTGTGGTTTTAGATGGAAGGTGTCGAGAGCTTTGGTGCCGTGCTAGTTTTATCACAAGGTTTGGTAGTTGAGAAAAGTTTGATGGTTTCCCTAGTGTTTTCAAATTTCTGAATGCGATTTTGGGTAGAAGATAAACGAATATTTAAAGCTTTGTCATGAATCATGAAAAGGTATCGAACTCGGATGGGGAGAAGGCGGAAGCAATTTTAAGATGTAGATACAGAAGAGCCTTATTGATTTGGTCTATTTCCTTTCTCGAAGTAAAGCGAAACTAGATTTTCTAAGGATTTTATAAGCGGATGAGGTTTTGACATGACGGGATATTTTAAGAAAATTGGGGAGACCGTTTTGGTCTCTACAACGTAACAAAAAGGTCAGTGTACAGAGTAATCTTACCAGTTTCGGTGATCTTACAACTTTTTTGTTTTTGCGCTTGATGTCCTCACCACAAAGGCTTGTTAATTTTTGAAAGAAACTTCAACAACAGTCATCTAAGATGATGTTTACGCCCCTCATTTAGCACCGCCGCCCTTCAAACCATATGTACATAGAATAAGGGCCAGTTTCAGTCAAGCTCTGAAGAAGACAAGAGGATGATTCGCGAAACGTTAGCATGTTCCAAAAGGGAGTTTGGCCCACTCTGTACGTAATTTAAAATTTACAAATTACAAAGCTAACCGAAACTTCACTTTCAAATGAATCTATTAAGCTGAACACGTGAACAAACTGCCTTTCCCGGGTAACACATTTTCTCATCCCATCAGGAGCGGGATAAAAAATCTCCGATCTTCCCGCGACGCAAATTGACAATTTCTCGGTCGGCGCGATCGTGAAGCAAAAAGCCGGGACCGTTATCGTATTTTTGGAGAGGACGGGGGGGCTATTGTTTCGCGGCCGGGGACGAATCACGTCTAATTTGCGGGGGTAAACTTTGTCGCGGTTACGGAAAGCAATTATTGTCAGACGAAAAAGTAATTCTATCCCACCCCTAATTAAAATTGATGCGGACCCGGGGATTTTTTCGCAATGGCGCGTGCGGCGTGGAGGGAGGGGGCTGTTAGGTTGCTCGGCGACGATGACGTCAGTACCCCTCCCCTCTGTTAATTAGATTCGCTAGGATCTCGCGTAAACTCGATACGGGATTATCAACTTGTTGCAACTCGACGAAATGGGATTTTGGGTATTAGCGCAAGATCCCGGCGTAGATAATTGTCGTGCATCTTCTATCAATAATTTTTTTAAAATTCTATGCTCCAACAACTACTGCGCACAGACAGAAAATTGACCTCGTTGCCTAAGTACCTTTTTCAGTGCGTGCAGCGGCGTCGCAATTTTCAAATTGTCATATCACCGGCAGTCTCTCAACACTACTATTGATTGATTGATTGATCTTTTTTAGTTGTCTTTTATTTATTTTTTATATAATTCTAATAGAATAGTGGAATGATGGAATACATCTTAGGTTTAAATAATATTAAAAATAAAATAATTAAAAATAATATTAAAAACCTAGCCATAGAATAATATACCGTTTTTGCTAATTGAAAAGTTAAGAATTGTATAAGTTGGGAAAACATAAATTATTTTTTTAATTTTTTGTTGGATACACCCGTATATTACTTGGATCCTCCTGCGTCGGTTTTTGTTGACTCGAACTTGCTAACGTTTCGACAATCATCCAGTTGACTTCTTCGGAGCTTGATTGAAACTAGTTCGCGTTTTACTCTGTACCTGCTTATAATGGGTGTTTTTCGATGTATAGAACTTTAAGCTGGCGTTACTGTACAAGATGGCGACCGATTTAACAGCTGTCAAGTGATTTATTCTCAGTTTGGTGTGGCAATTCATCATGAATAGAATCATTCCTGAACAACGCTTGCAAATAGTGCAATTTTATTTCGAAAATAATGGTTCTGTGCGGAATACGTATCGCGCACTACGTCCATTTTATCGTCGACAAAATCGTCCATCAGAGCGGTTAATTCGATTAACCCTGGAACGTTTTCTCACCACGTTTACTCTTATTGATAACTCGCATCCCCAGAGACGCCGTACGGTGCGTACAGAAGAAGCTGTTGCTGCTGTAGAGCGTAGCATTGAGGAAGAACCGAATGAGTTCATCTGCCATGGAGCACAGGAATCGAATCTGTGTTCATCCACTTTATGGAAGATTTTGCGGAAGGATCTTGGTTTCCGTGCTTACGAAATCCAACTCGTGCAAGAATTGAAGCCAAACGATCATCAAGTAAGGCGTAGATTCGTCGAATGGGCCCATAACGAGATTGCCTTTGTTCCCGATTTTCATAAGCGAATTTTGTTTAGCGATGATGTGCACTTCTGGTTAAATGGTTACGTCAACAAACAAAACTGCCGCATTTGGAGCGAGGTTAATCCTCAAGTGTATGTCAAAACACCGTTACATCCAGAAAAACTGACTGTTTGGTGCGCTTTATGGGATGGTGGAATCATTGGTCCGTACTTCTTCAAAAACGATGATGCACAGAACGTTACAGTCAATGGTGATCGGTATAGAGCTACGATTACTAACTCTTTCATTCCTGAATTGAATAACCATGATGTCCAGGTGATGTGCTTTCGACAAGACGGCGCAACATGTCACACAGCTCGTGCCACAATCGATTTATTGAAAGACACGTTTGGTGACCGCCTAATTTCACGTTTTGAACCTGTGAATTGGCCTCCAAGATCTTGTGATTTCACACCGCTAGACTACTTTCTGTGGGGCTATGTAAAGTCATTGGTCTATGCGGATAAGCCACAAACGCTTGACCATTTGGAAGACAACATTCGCCGTGTTGTTGCTGATATACGGCCACAAATGTTGGAAAAAGTCATCGAAAATTGGACGTCCAGATTGGACTACATCCGCGCCAGCCGTGGCGGTCTTATGCCAGAAATCTTATTTAAAATGTAATGCCACAAGATTATCTTTCGGATAAATAAAATTCATGTCAATCAAATACTCCATCGTTGTTTTATTGCAACTTAAAGTTCTATACATAAAAAAAAACACCCCTTATATTGTTTGAGCGGAGCTAAATGAGGGGCATAAACACCGTCTCGGATCTCTGATTTCCATATTGGTGACAGGTAAAGACCAGAGACGCAATAAAATTATCACCTTCCGGCTGAAAAATCATCGGTTATCAATTCTATTGATTAAAGAGTCGTAAAACTATCTCAACCCAGAATTAAAATGCTAACTAATTACATGGAAGAGTTTTAGTTTTATCGAACAAAATTTTATGCCCGATTTTGTGGTTGTGTTCGACAACTGCTGATGAGTTTTTTTGTCGTAGTCTTAAGTCTCTTTTATGTGCTTTGAGCCCAGTTGATATTTTCGTCCGCTCTCTGTGACGGATTCTACGCCGCATATGCACGGAATGCTGCAAACTCCTGGCATCTCAAATGTTGTTGATGTTGAGAGACTTTTGGACAAGTGGTAAATCTGCATTTGACGTTATATTTCTTTAGAACTTTTGATATGTTGTCAGTGATGTTTTGAATATAAGAAATGACAACAGTGGCAAGTGTGGGATTGCTTTCGGTTTCATTGCTATTGGTTCAAAAATCATCAGTTATCAACTGGTCTTGTCTTATTTACAGAGCCGCAAAACCTTACCTCTGCTCTTCTCTCTAATAGTTTCCACATTAATGATATTAGGTTTTGAATATAAGAAATGACAACAGTGGCAAGTGTGGGATTGCTTTCGGTTTCATTGCTATTGGCTCAAAAATCATCAGTTATCAACTGGCCTTGTCTTATTTACAGAGCCGCAAAACCTTACCTCTGCTCTTCTCTCTAATAGTTTCCACATTAATGATATTAGGCGGTCGATCCCAAAATACACTTCACCACAACCTTCCAATAGCAATGAGGCCGAAAGTAATCCTACACTTGCCACTGTTGTCCTTCCTTATATTCAAAACATCACTGACCACATATCAAAAGTTCTAAAGATATATAACGTCCAAACCAGATTTAGCACTTGTCCAAAAATCTCTCCATGAAAGACAAAATTCCATTTGAGATGCTAGGAGTGGTGTAATTTTTTTTTTAAGTCACACGACTAATTTCCCACTTGAACTTGCCTCATCGTTCAGAGACTAATTAAGCTTTCCTGCGCGAGCGATAATTTATGCCCGTACTATCTCACCCCTAGTTCGCTGCGGCCATTAATAAATCCTTAAGACGCGGAGCGGATAAACGAATTAACGTTATTGCCCTCTTTTGATCCGTGGGAGCGAGGTCGGGTTATCTGCGCGCCTATTCCACCTTCCTAACCAATCCGACTGCCTGTTTTTCCAGACGAAGGTTGCGACGAGGGCCACCAGAAACGCGCGATGATACGCATGGGCATCAGGGTGGTACAACGTGCGTTCGCCCCGCCCTCCCCCAAGCATTACGCTCCGGGGGCAGGTCGTACCACCAAGGAACAAGCCAAACAAAACCGCAAAGCCCTCCTTTATGGCTGTCGAAGCGCACCGCTCGAGCTTAAGTTCGCCAACGATCCAGGTATCCTTTGATCCTTTGAATTATAATGATCGATAATAATAAAATAAATAAGAACTAAAGTTTAGATTTTCACGAAATTATATATATGCACATGACAATTGTTTCGACAATACCGTGTCTTTATCAAATGTAACATTTACAAACTACCTGCTACTATATATAGCGAAAAATAACAATAAAAACCTTAATTAATGTTGTTGTGAGAATTTAAGTTTAGTAAAGGAGAGATATTTAAATCTAATTGATCGTTGAAATGTCTCATTTTGTTAATCTCCATGGCTTCCAATAAATTTAATTTTCCACTTTTTGTGTAAAATATCAAAATTGTCGTCAAAAATGTGTTTCTCTCTCTCTCTCTCTCTCGCTACAGAAAATTACAATAACTACACTGAACGACGACTACCATCCGTCCATTATCGATAAAATTATAAATAAAAAACAAATCCAGGCAATAATAAACTCTATTTATCCGAAACCTAATACAGAACACGAACAATTTAAAACAATTTCATACATAGGAGAACGCTGTGAAAAAGTTTCAAAACATTTGTCAAAATGTGGTTTAAAAATAGCTTTCAGAACAACACAATAGGAAAAATTTTAACCAACATAAAAGAGCGTTTAAAAACAATAGTCTAGATTCTAATTATGCTACACACTTACAACACAGAAAAACACATTTTTGACGAAGATTTTGATATGTTACATACAGCCGCAAAAAGTAGAAAATTAAATTTTTTGGAAGCCATGGAGGTTAACAGAATGATCCATTCAAATGTATTGCTTAACGATCAATTAGATTTTTCGGTATATATGGTAACAGATACTTTGTAAATATTACATTTGATAAAGACGCGGTGTTGTCGAATCAATTGACATGCTAAATATATATAATTTCGTGAAAATCTGAACTTTAGTTGTTATTTATTTTGTTAAATGGATTTTCATCAAGTAAAAGCCACCTCAGTTCAATTACCGATAAATATATGCAGGGTGGCGCGTAAAATTAAAAAATATAATTTATCGGTAAGGCTTACAGTTTTGTATTTTTTTAGCAAGCAAATCGAGATCGGTCGAGACGGTGAGCTCTGAGGATCATCACGAGACGCCCGAGAAATGCGTCAAGGTCCAATTAAAGCCCCGCCCCCACGATGCGTCATCGTTAGATCGTAGGAAAGAAGAGGAAGGCTCGGAAGATGGTAATTTATATTACTTACCTTCATCTGTCTGTACGTCACAAATTGAAACTAACTGGTCTCGCGTTTGAAAAATGTGCCCCCTGTGCCTACAAATACCAAAGAGATATTGCCCAGACTGGACGCTTTCAGATTTGGGTGAGACACATTTCCCAGCCAGGGCAAATGAGGCCATTAAACTTTATGGTTATCGACGTGACTTAACTATCCTTTTTATAGCCTATTGCAGAACGGTGTAAAGTAACAAAACCTTAGTAGGTATGCGAATGAACCACAGAGTGAGAATGCTTAAGCCACTTTCGTTGTTTGTCATTGATTTCGTTGTAAAATTCGTTTTTCCTATCATATTCAGTAACTTTGAATGTCATGTTGTTTCTTGCTACAAATTATTTCACAGATCTAGGTGGCAATATATTTTTTTCTACTCCGGCCAATACCAAATTACACACCGATCTAGCGTGCGGGAAGCGTCACTTTACCACGTTAGTTTCGTTTCCCACGGATCCGAGCCACTTCGGACATTTCCGGGATTTTACCGCAAGGGTTTGGGAGCAATCGGATATTTTCGGAGATTTTGACGTTTATCAATTCTGACGGTCATGTCAGTGAATGTATTCGTGTTGTTTTACGAAAATGTACCCAACAACTAACGGTCGTAGAAAAAGTATAATATGCAACACGTTCGGTAAACTTTTTAACTCACTCGTTTATTAAACACTCGCTCCGCTCGTGTCAAATAAACTCGTGAGTCAAATACCGTTTACCGCACTTGTTGCATAATATACTATTAATGACGATACCAAAATACATGATGTGATTTGAATTTTGACGTTTGTCAATTCTGACTATCATGTCAGTAAATGAATTAGTGTTGCTCGCTCCGCTCGTGTCAAATAAACTAGTGAGTGAAATGCCGCTTACCGCGGAATTTATGTAACTTTGTAACTATGTAACTTTGCCAACGTTATTATATTATTTATTTTATATAATTTTATAGTTTATATAATTTTCTAATTCAATATTTTTGCCCATAATTTATTGTCTTCTCCAAGTTTTTTCTATGCGTCGTACACTATAGTTAACTATTTTCTTTTAAAAATTCCTCTTTGCTTCCAATATTAACGATTATTAGTTTTTGTTCCTTTCCCTGACGGTGCATTTAATACTCATTGACAAGCTTTCCATGAAAGCTGGGCGGGCACTCATTTTATTTTTGTCTTGCCAGATTTCTAACATGACTTTATAAATTTGCTCCAGTACATACGTTATGATTAGTCTATCCTTAAATTGTAGTTCATTTCCTTTTACTCCATCATAATGGAATAATATGTCAGTAAGATAGGGATCAAAATAGTTTATTATGCAACAAGTGCGGTAAACGGTATTTGACTCACGAGTTTAATTGACACGAGCGGACCGAGTTTATAATAAAGGAGTGATTTAAAAAGTTTATAGTGTTGCATACTATAGTTTTTCTACGACCGTTAGTTTTTGGTTAAATTTTCGCAAAATAACACGAACACATTCACTGACATGACCGTCAGAATTGACAAACATCAAAATTCAAAGCGTGGGAAATATCTCCGAAAATATCCGATAGATCGGTGGGTAATTAGGTATTTTACAGAAGGGGGTAGAAAATAGTATATTATGCAACAAGTGCGGTAAACGACATTTGACTCACGAGTTTATTTGACACGAGCGGAGCACAGCGGAGCGAGTTTTTAATGAACGAGTGTTAAAAAGTTTACCGGACGTGTTGCATTCTATACTTTTTCTACGACCGTTAGTTTTTGGGTACATTTTCGCAAAATAACTCGAACACATTCACTGACATGACCGTCAGAATTGACAAACGTCAAAATTCAAAGCGTGGGAAATATCTCCGAAAATATCCGATAGATCGGTGGGTAATTAGGTATTTTACAGAAGGGGGTAGAAAATAGTACATTATGCAACAAGTGCGGTAAACGACATTTGACTCACGAGTTTATTTGACACGAGCGGAGCACAGCGGAGCGAGTTTTTAATAAACAAGTGAGTTAAAAAGTTTACTGAACGTGTTGCATTCTATACTTTTTCTACGACCGTTAGTTTTTGGGTACATTTTGGCAACACTAACAACACTAATTCATTTACTGACATGACAGTCAGAATTGACAAACGTCAAAATTCAAATCATCATGTAGTTTAGTATAATCATTAATAGTACTGACATGGTAAAGTGACGCTTCCCGCACGCTAGATCGGTGGGTAATTAGGTATTTTACAGAAAGGAGAAGAAAAATAATTTTATTGCACAAAATTTACTTACGCCTATGACCGACATCAAAATTGAGCGCAATTTCGACGGAATTTCCCATTATATTACTCTACACTTACCTGAAATATTAATTAATTAATAATAATAATTATATAACATAATCTTTTTTTAAATGGGACCTGAATTTCAAGGTTTCTCTTTAATACAAATTCGGATCAATTAAACATCACATTACTACGCAACGAAATACAAAGTTCCTCTGTCCCCCCCCACCCAATCTTATACTGTGGATGACGTAACCCGTGTGCCTTTCGCATCGTCGAGGGTATTTTCCGGCCGTCAAAACTCGTCCGGCTCGAAAAATGAGATTCCTATTTCCGGTTTCAGACGGAAACAGTCCCGGGAGGAAAGGAGGCCGTGTGGCTTTCGAAAACGACCGCACCACAGTTAACGGTTCGGTCGGTCTCGAAGAAGGCGTCCCCGAGGGCCATTCGCTACAGGACGCCGATTCTCCCGACGCGGAAAACGTCGACGAAGACGAGGTATACGATTTTTTTCAATGACGTTAAGGAAAACCACTTAATTTTGGCATTTTTAGCGAAATTTACCCGATCAGGAACATAGGAACATTATATTTTATTCTCGACTCTGCGACCAGAAAAACACAATTACTAACAATTTACATAATTAAATTATTTCAAAACTCACCACTCATGTAACATTTTTCGCATCTTAAGGTTTTATTATAGTTTTTGCAAGTTTCCTAAGGGGTCCAACAAATATCAAATTTCTTTAAGTGTTACGTTTTCATTACTTTATTTATTAAACCTTCGGTGTTTGTCTCCTCCATTTTTTTTTTTAAAGGGTTGATAGCAACTAAATATATAAATTAATTAAATTACAAAACTTATCAAACTTTTTCGTGTGGTGCTGTATGTTTTTGAGGTCTTCTTAAACATGTCACAAGCTGATATCCCGGCAGTGAACTAGTTGGATTTGCGTTTTCAACGAATGGTCAACAACGGTGCTGTTTTCCCAACTTCTTTGGTTTGAACAATTTTCAAATACATCTTCAGCAATAAATCAATAACTTAAAAGTGAGGTTATGAGTGCATAAATGACATTTGATATATGCTCACTAATAATTGTTTTTCCGGTTACTTTTAGTTTTGTGCTATTTACGATGGTTTTTATAAACGCCTTTTTAGTTCCTTAGAGTTTTATTGCAAGAAAAATATTACTATGAAGCACCTACGTAAATATTCAATGTGTTTAATATTACTTGAAAGCATAGCAAACCTGTTTTTGGGCAAACTTAAAAAGGCATTTCAAACAACAAAACTTACATATGTTTCGGCGTCTTAAAAGTCTTCTTCAGAGGTCCAAGTAGACCCGCAGATAAGAGCACAAATGATTGGGGTGATTCTTAATAAAACACATCACATCTTGAAGGCTTTTATTGTAATACATGTACCGTGCGTTCGATTTATCTTGATAACATTTTAATTGGCTGTAATTTTTTTGTATTTAGAGATATCAAGGTAAACAAAAAAACAAAAGGGCTAGTAGCCGAGTTGTATTCCAAGTGTCGTATAAAACAAAACACATCACATTATATTATATATTATATTTGTGTTTAATAGAATATCTTATTCCGATTACAATGATGTCAAAAATGAGAATTTTTTATATAATTTCAAAGGGGTGCCCTGACTGACAAATAAAAAATTGTTTATGTTTGACGTATTAATAAATAACGTTGATGGTTGAATTATTGTGCAAATCATTATTGTTAAAATGATTTTTTGGGAATTTAGCATCCGTGAAAGGTAACGTATTAAATTCTAAAAAGGTATATAATAATAATATATAATGTTTTAAATGAAGAAAAGACTTATATGTCAGAAAATTGATAGTGTTTTGTTTTATATGTCAAAAACAAAAAAGTTACGTTCATTTAAAATGTATCGAGATAAATTGAACGCACGGTAACCTAACAAAGTAATGTCAGAGTTCAAAAGCATTTTTTTGTTGGTATAGTAGGACCCCACCGATCTATCCAACTCATTAAAAATGTAAATCCCTGATGGGCGTACTATACAGAATAGTGGTAATAGTAGTATAGCTTAAGGGCTTCTGGGCCGATTCACGAAAAATCGATAAGACTAGACGCAGTATTATCGGAGAAGTAAAAAATCGGTAATGTTGGCGTAGGAAAGGGCTTTCTTATTATTGTTATGCGAATTTTATTTCAAATAACATTGTAATAGTCGCCCATGGCATCGGGTTTTGACGCTTAATATTTTATGTTTCGCCGATATTTTCGATACGGTCTCGGAGATAGAAATACCCGCCTGTTATCCCGACACGTGTCCTATAGGACATTATTATTTTAAAGGATGGATCGCCAGCGTATCGTTCACGTTTAATTGCGTACCTTTTGCTATCTAAACTTCTCGATTTTTTTTACGTCCTTTCCGCGCTCGTTATCGCTCCCTTTGTGTTACGCTTCCTCCCGTATTCAGACGCACCAACAAACCATTAAATTTCGAAAGCGACTTTTTAGGAGCGCATCGTTTCGCTTTTGGGAGAGGCCTTAATTAAGGCACCGGATTCGGATAAATCGTATTGTTATAAATGGCCATTAAATTAATTTCTCGCGGCTTTAACTTTTCTTTTGTTTTTTCGTCTCTAACTTAACTGCAAAATTAACAGATAAACGTAATGGAAGCGGTCAAGTTTCCTTTTTTTTTGCGGAATCTTCGCTTTGGGTTTGGTTGAAAGGAGCGAACAGCCAAATGTTTTCAATCCTCCGCTAGGTATTGAGCATCTTTGGGTTCATCTTAAAATTAATACGCTACTGTTACTAATTGGAAGTATTTATAGAACAAATGCATGCAGTGTAAATACTTTTGTGGGTTATTTTGATAATATATTGTCATACGCGGTGCCTCAATATCTTCTTCTTCTACTCTTCACGGTTTAGACTTATAGTCTGTTCCGGCTTCATACATCCCTCCAGCGTCGGCGGGGTCGACCTACACTTCTTCTGCCTATTGGCTGGTAGTTTGTTATTATTTTCGGGATTCTGTCATCAGGCATTCTATCTACATGTTGTTTCCAGTTGCGTCTATATTCTTTTATTTTATCTGTCATTGCAAATATTTGTAATTCGTTTCTGATATCTTCATTTCTAAATCTATCTAGTCGTGTGCAACCTTTCACCCCTCTTAAAAATTTCATTTCGGCCGCTTGTATTTTGCTATATTCTGCTTTTGTTGGTACCCAGCTTTCGCAACCGTATAGGAGTACTGGAGTTGCCATAGTTTTGTAGAATTTTATTCTGGTGTCTTTCCTTGTTTTATTCCTTAATGTTCTTTGGATTGTTCCACAAATTTACGTAGTTTTTGAGAGATATCATTATCTCTGTCATATCCTACTTCGCAACCAAGGTACTGGAACTGAGACACCTGTTCCAATGGTTGATTGTCTAGAACAATCTTTGTTCTTACAGAGTACATACCTTCAAAGGCCATAACTTTCGTCTTTTCCTTCGAAATTGTCATATTGTATTCCTTACACAGTAGATTCAGTTTATGTATAGAGCTTTGGAGATCATTTTCATTGTTTTGTATCAGTATGAGGTCGTCTGCGAATAGAAGGGAATTCATATAGTCGTTCTGGTCGATCTTAATTCCCTTCTTTGTTTGTCTTTTCCATTCTCTCAAGATATGGTCAATGTAGATATTAAAAAGAGAAGGTGACAGACTGCATCCTTGTTTTAAGCCTTGGTTTGTCTTTATGGGTTTGGATTCGCCACTGTTTAATTTTAGAGTTATTTGGGTGTTTTCGTACAAGGTTTTTATTGTTCGCACCAGATGTATGGGGTATCCTCGGAGGCGCATAATTTTCCACAAAAGATTCCTGTCCACCCTGTCAAATGCCTTTTCAAAATCTATGAAGGCGATGTGTGTTTGAATATTGTATTCGCGGTGTTTTTCTATGATTTGTCTCAGGGTAAAGACATTGTCAGTGCAAGATCTTCCTTTCCTAAACCCATTTTGATCTTCTAATAGAATGGCGTCTGAGATTGCTTTTATTCTGTTGTTGATAATTTTAGAGTATATTTTATATATAGAGTTCATGAGACTTATACCTCGGTAGTTGTTGCAATCGTTTCTCTTCCCTTTTTTGAATATTGATATGACTTGGGTGTCTTGCCATTCTTTAGGTATTTGGCACTCTCGCCAGCATTCATTAAACAGGTGCAATAATCTTAGATTTAATATCGGTCCTCCATATTTCAAGAGTTCCATGTTGATGTTGTCTGGACCCGCCGCCTTTCTATTTTTCATCTTTTTCATTACCTCATGAAGTTCTTCGATGTCTATTCTATCGCCCACATAAATATCGTCGTTTTCTGTTTCTTCTAGTGTTACTGCATCTGGGTTATACCATAGAGATTCGTAATGTTTAGTCCATTCTTGTTCGTCAATTATATTTAAGCTTGCCTGATCTTTTGTAGTTTTATTGAGTTGTCTAATTACCTTATAAGCAAATGCTTGTTGTCCATGCATATCGTTTTCCACGTTGCTGATGAATTTATCCCAAGACTGTTGTTGTATTTGTTTCCTTAATCTGTTGACAGTGTTACGAGCTAGGTTATATTGCCCTTTACTCTCATCTGTTTTTGTTTGTAGATATTTTAAATATGAAACTTTCTTTTCCTTAATGGCTTCTTCGATTTCTTTGTTCCATATTCTTAGCCCATGTTTATTTCTGAACTTCTTCTTCTTTCCTAGACTTTCAAAAGCTGCTCTTTCTATGCATCTCTTTATGTTTTATGATTACATTATTATAAGGGGTGATCTTAATATAAATCAACTTACTCCTCACTTAATTAATGCGTGCTTAGAAGCATATGATTTTTCTCTATTGATTTCTGAACCCACCCGTCTAATTCAGAATTCTCAAACCTTGTCGGACGTAATCGATACTAACCAACCTAATATGACCACTCCTTCTGGAGTTTTGTATGTTTGCATGTTTCTGATCATCTCGCAGTTTTTTGTCAAATTAAATCGCAGCCTCGATGTTTCCGAAATTTCAATAATGACACTTGTCGGTATCCCTCGGCATCTCATTATTCACGAAAATTATATTGATCAGAAAATAGATATGTTCAATTTTTTCATAACTTATAAATATGCTCCTTTTGTCGTGTCTAAGATCACCAAAACCTATGCTCCTTGGTTAACACATACTAATCGTGAAATGATGAAAAGGACATATATATATATATATATATATATATATATATATATATATATATATATATATATATATATATATATATATATATATATATATATATATATATATAATCCAGGAACTTAACTGGCTAAAAATAGACAGTACTTTCAGGTACTTTTTGGCGTCTATGGTTTTCCAAATTATAAGCACATCCAATCTGTCTAGCTTCTCAGTTTCGTAATGTTCAACCAGTGGCTTTAAGGCACCCCTACGGACTCTCACTGCCGCAGATCATTTTCTTATAACGCTGTTCTAATTTTTAATAGTATACCTGATTCAGTAAAATCACATTTAATATTGAAAAAATATTTCAGGTGGACACTGCTAACTTCCCAAATAATTTCATTTTCAATGTTATTCTTTTTATTTATACTATTAATAACTTTCTATTGTTACATATTACTATTACATTTACCTATTATTTACTTCTTATCTAGGTAAATATCTCTCTTTATCTATTAATTTATCAATGTGATTATAACTTCCTACTTAGTTTTCATTTAAGAGCTTAAGTGAAGTAGCTTTTGCTAGACTTCGCCTCTTCTCTACTGTATACTTGTAACAATATAACAATATACAACAATAAAGGCAAAACAATAAGGAAAATTATCTAGGAAACCACCATTGCCATGGCAATACACTTTTGGCGACGAGTAAAGTTTACCATCACGAGAACATTCGACGGATAAATTATGAACATGCATCGTCGCAATGGACGTCGTCATCATCTTCGTCGAACGTCCTTAATTTCGCTCCCCCAGGCCCTATTACCATTTTTTACAAGCGCATAACGAACCCTAACGATCCTCGGTATCGGCTTAATAATACGCGGTGGGATCGTAAATCGAAAATTAATTTTGGCCAGTTCGGTATTAATGAAAATTACGTTGCCGAAACAGGTTAAACGTAGACGTCTTTCTTCTATCGCAGGCGAAAATCTCGGGCTACTTTCACAGCACGTGCGGCGGCAAACGGCCCAGTTTGGCGGCTTACTTGGCGGGAGTTCCCAGCCCCAGGGCGGTGGTCGAGAAACCGTTTCTGCTTAGTGACGGTAAAGTGTTCCTGACTGCCTCTTTGAACAAGGCGATCTACTCTCACGGCGAAGACATTCGGATCAAAGTGCAGGTGCGCAACAACAGCAGCAAAACGATCAAACGCATAAAGGTAAGTTTCACCGGACCTGATTCGATTTCGCATGCACGGTTTTCGTAATATGTTAAGCTCTGCTATCGGTCGTTGCGGTTCTTCAACAGATATCAATACCAAATATAAGTAATTCTTCGCGCAACAATACCGTTGAAATCTCGCAGAGTCGTACATAGCAACCAGAAAGTATGTCACGTTTGAGTTACAGGATTAGCTCTATAACGTGTTAAAAAGTCAACTTAGAAAATCCGTCTTTACTAAAATCCCTATTCCTGAAACTCTCAACATCATTTCTGGAATCAAACCTTTTAAACTTAATTAAAAAATGTTTGTTTGGAACATCTTTTTCTTATAACGGTCAAATTTTTCAACGAATGGGTTCTTCACTAGACAGAAGCTCTCGACACCTTCCAAAATTATGGAAGCGCTACGTCGATCATACTTTTGTTATTGGGCCTCATTGCTCAGAATCCCTAGTAGATTTTCTTAGACATTTAAACTCTATAAACCCTAACACACGTGTTATATTGCGACCAGAATGATAGTGTTTTTACAACCGGGCCTGTCATTAATTTTGCCTACTGCTTGTTACTCCAAAACCGCAGTCCCTTATAGAACACCCCGCCGAACAGACTCTTTCCCGTAACCATTCCAGGACCGTCCCAAAAATTTATATACCTACACGAACAAGTATTTTTTGCCAATCTTTTTCGCCGAGCAACTGTTGAAACATGTATATACAAAAATTAGTGCAAAGTAACAATTTATTACTTTCTGTCACTTGTTTTTATTGGTGCTCCTACTTCCCCTTCCGAATTTCTTATAAAATTGTAAACATTCAAAACAATTTGTTTAGCATCTGAAAACAAATGGATCCGTTTTATTTGCTGAGATAGAGGTCTTCTAAATTGTCATTAGGTTCGACTACCATTTCCACTTCGTCTTCAAATTCTGCGATGTTTTTCATGTCTCCACATTTTAAAGTGTTAAAAAACAGGAATCTTCAAAAAACGTTTAATTGTAAGATTGTAATAAATGTTTATTTGTATTCTTATGAAGTGCTTATCTACTGTGAATATAATCTATAGTCTATAGAAAACACAAAAATATTAGAATACTAGAAGAAAAATATTGTTCATCGACAGGCACACAAGACAAAAAGACTATCCTCAAACTTACCTGTAGAGTACAGGTACTCTACCCTTAGGTTTTGAACTATCCAGTAGAAACAGCCTCGCAGGGTCATAGCTCGAGAGTCAGGTACATAAATACGTACCTAATGGAAGGATCACATTCAAATATCTCTGTAATATATACGAACATATTGCAATTTAGGTTTATACTTATTCGAAAATACTCCTTAGCATCAATGATTAATCAAATTTAAAAAGGTTCATTCACGTTTCTACAAATATTCGGTACGGTTCATCTCAGGAAAGACCTACTTAATGCAGAATAAACATCTGTACTGTACTGTGTACTTAAAACATCAAAGCAATAAATGCACTATAATTTTAATGCATTGTGACACCACCATCCGGCCAAAAATTATTGGTTATCAACTCTCTTGTTCACAGAGCCGTAAAACTACCTCAGCCCTAGTCACTGAACCTAGAATTAAAACACCTTACCCCTGCTCTTCTCTCTAATAATTTGCGTGGCCTTTTCACCACAACTTTCCAATAGCGATAAGGCCCAAAGCAATCCCGCACTTGCCACTGTTGTCCTTCCTTACATTCAAAACTTCACTGACCACATATGAAAGGTTCTAAGTAAATACAACGTGAAAACCAGATTTACCACTCTGTCCAAAAATCTCTAAATAAATTCAATCCGTCGAAGACAAAATTCCATTTGAGATGCCAGAAGTTTACAACATTACATGCATATGCGACAAAAAACACATTGGAGGGACCGGAGGCTCAAAGATTTTTTTTACAAAACTTCTGGATTCCTCCTGCGTCGGTCGAAACCGGATATAAAATTTTATTCGATAAAACTAATATTCTTGCATGTAATCAATTCTTCTACCGACTCAGGTCTTTACCTGTCACCAATATGGGAATCAGTCATCCGAGACGACGTTTATGGTCCTCATTTAGCTCCGCCCTTCTCGAACAATGCAAGGGATGTTTGTTTTCGATGTATAGAACTTTAAGTTGCAATAAAACAACGATGGATTATTCGATTGGCATGAATTTTATTTATCCGAAAGATAATCTTGTGGCATTACATTTTAAATATGATTTCTGGCATATGACCGCCACGGCTGGCGCGGATGTAGTCCAATCTGGACGTCCAATTTTCGATGACTTTTTCCAACATTTGTGGCCGTATATCGGCAATAACGCGGCGAATGTTGTCTTCCAAATGGTCAAGCGTTTGTGGCTTATCCGCATAGACCAATGACTTTACATAGCCCCACAGAAAGTAGTCTACCGGGGTGTTTAAATCACAAGAACTTGGAGGCCAATTCACAGGTCCAAAACGTGAAATTAGGCGGTCACCAAACGTGTCTTTCAATAAATCGATTGTGGCACGAGCCGTGTGACATGTTGCGCCGTCTTGTTGAAACCACATCTCCGTGACGTCATGGTTATTCAATTCAGGAATGAAAGAGTTAGTAATCATAGCTCTATACCGATCACCATTGACTGTAACGTTCTGGCCATCATCGTTTTTGAAGAAGTACGGACCAATGATTCCTCCAGCCCATAAATAGCACCAAACAGTGAGTTTTTCTGGATGTAACGATGTTTCGACATCGCTTATGAAAATCGGGAACAACGACAATCTCGTTTTGGGCCCGTTCGACAAATCTACGCCTTACTTGGTGATCGTTTGGCTTCAATTCTTGCACGAGTTGGATTTTGTCAGCACATAAACCAAGATCCTCCCGCAAAATCTTCCATAAAGTGGATGGACACAGATCCAATTCCTGTGCTCGATGGCGGATGGACTCATTCAGGTCTTTCTCAATGCTACGCAGCAATAGCTTCTTCTGTACGCACTGTACGGCGTCTCTGGGGATCCGAGTTATCAATAAGAGTAAACGTGGTGCGAAAACGTTCCATGGTTAATCGAATTAACTACTCTGACGGAGGATTTTGTCGACGATAAAATGGACGTAGTGCGTGATACGTATTCCGCACAGAACCATTATCTTCGAAATAAAATTGCACTATTTGCAAGCGTTGTTCAGGAATGAGTCTATTCATGATGAATTGCCAAACCAAACTGAGAATAAATCACTCGACAGCTGTTAAATCGGTCGCCATCATGAACAGTAATGCCAACTTAAAGTTCTATACATCGAAAAAAAAAACCATTATAAGCAGGTACAGGGTAGACAGTTTCCGTCAAGCTCTGAAGAAGCCAACAGGTTGATTGGCGAAACGTCAGCAAATTGGACACAGGAGGAATTCAGAAGTGTTATTAAAAGTAGAAAATACCTAGAGTAACAAAAATTACACACAATGGGATTCTTTTGCATCGCACGCTAAATTAACGTGTTCGTTCTGTTTCCTGCCGATCCCGAGTTTTGTTCCAGACTCTGAAATTTATGGACAAACCCGACCTTCGTTTTTTTTCTCGCTCCTCCCCCCTTTCAACGCTCGAAGAACTTTTTTTTTCCTACGTTTCATTAAAGATCGAGCCTTCGGGTAATTTTTGGTACGCGCCCCTCGCATGGTGGGCGTTTCTGTTTCTATTCGCCGACGTTTCCGTTTTCGCCGAATTGATTTGCCGGTTCCACATAATATAAATCGTTTTGTTATGGGACCAATTTAAAAGCGACTGACAATTGCAAATTTATTTGTCGCGGTATATTTGATTTACGCGCGAAACGGGCGTTTATTGGGTCAGTTTGTTTTGCTGGTGAAGGCACAGCGGCGGCGGGTACCGGGCTCGATTTGTAAGATGTTTAAACATCGTTAATTGTACTTAGCACCGTCCCCAGTTTGTTTTTCCTAAAGCTTGTCGGCTTTTTGCACCTCCTCAAATATCGGCGTTCATCAAATTTATTGCTAAATTGACGTCGTAACGCGGTTGCTGTGCTAGATAAAACAAAACCTTAGGACTTAAGGCTTAAGACTTAAGACTCAGGCGAAAAGCATCACATCAAGTAGACATAAATACGGGATGGGTATCTTTGCATGAAACAGTTCAAAGTCAGAATATTGAAATAGTACAAATTCGTCTACACAGTGGATGACTTGTAAATATTACTCTCGTAGTTCTTTTGATTTTTGAGATACGGGACGTTTTTGGAAGCTTTAGAAAAGCAGAAAGTGAGCTGGCTGCCGGTTTTTACGCAGAATTCAGTGGCATACTCAGATATTTTTTTGTTATGTTTTTTATATGAGTCACCCAGCATATTTTTGAATACTACGATTGAGTTTGTCAAGAGTATCTCATAAATAAGATTTGAGAAAATATATTCGTTAATGTTAGTTAGCTATAACAGGTTATTTTAATAACAAAATAGCCCAATCCTTTCATATTCAGAAATTCTTGAGTTTCTGTCAGAATTTTGCGGTTTGTGTTTGTGATTTATGTTGCAAATTTTAATTAAAAAGTCAATAATAAATTTGAAACCTTTAAAAAATACGTCATGCTAATGTCACGTAATGTCAAATTACTTATACACAAAAAGAAGAGAGTCGGATTTTTTTTTTAAGATTAAAATCAAATTTAATTTAATATGGATCCTTTTGCAAATCCGGTCCATTATTTACAAAAAAGAAAACAAGGAGATCGATAAAATCAGTGTATTGGCTTCAATCCGTATAAAGCCTTGCAAGAAAATCTTTCGAGTTCAAACTATCCTAAAAGAAAAGACAAATTTAAGCCATACAAATTTCATCCTTACGATATACTTGCCGAATAAAGTTTTGTAAATGGTATTTATATAAAGCAAATAAAAATTAAATTTTAAATAAAATGGAGGATTTTTTATAACCTGTCATGGCTAACCAAAACTAACAAAAATGAAAAACTAAACTTAAATATGAGCTTTATATACTTTTGAGATGCTCTTGACAAATCCAGTGGTACTTTTTACAAAACTTCTGGATTTCTCCTGCGTCGGTGTTTGCCGAGTCGAAATTGCTGACGTTTCGCCAATCATCCTGTTGGCTTCTTCAGAGCTTGACAGTTTCAGTCAGGAGGAATCCAGAAGTTTTGTAAAAAGTATTACAGTAGCCTGTGGAAGTTTCTTTGAAAAAAAATCCAGTGGTGTCATGCAAACATATACTGAGTGACCAATTTAAAAAATTATAAGTATGGTTAAATCCAAAAACTAATTCAACATAGAAAAAATCAGAGTATGGCACTGAACTCTGCCTGAAAACGGCAACAAAGGTTTTACTCTCTTAAAATAAGTTTAAGAATAATCGAGATACGAGGGATATCGCAAAATCCAAAGTTTGTAAAAACATTCTCTACCTCAAAAATCGAATGTGGTATCAAAATTCTGTTTGCGAATCTTTTATTTCTCGAAAAAGTAGCAAAGTGAAATACGCATCCGTTTATCTTTACTAATAACTAATAATCTTGTAAAGAATTTTTTGAAATTTGATCTGTTCACCGTTTCTTCATAAGACATCCTATCACTGTCTTCGAATGGTTCAATCCAGGCACTGTGGACGAGTTTTCTCTGCCATACAGGCTTTGATGACATTCCTTGCCGTGATATAGTGATCACCAACCTGTTGGTGACGTTTCTGCTCCTTTGTTTGTTAGGAGGTGGGCTTTTGTTACCTTCCAGTCCACAATGCTTTGAGAAGGCTTTCGACAAGGTCAGGCACGACAAACTGATGGAAATACTCCAACAAGTAGGCATTGACGACAGGAAAATGCGAATAATTAAAAACCTTTATTGGCATCGACGAGTAAACATTAGGATTGACCAAAACATCTCTGACACAGTGGCAATGCGCCGGGAGATGCATGCCACTGTACTCTGAGTACATCTTCAGGGAAGGTCTTGATGAATTCTATAGAAGGATTAAAATAAATGGAGTTAGCATCAATAACTTAAGATATGCTGACGACACTGTTCTGTTAGCCAATACTCCGGAAGCACTGCAAATGCTTTGGGATAGACTCACCAATGTATGTAACGAATATGAACTAAAACTCAACCTCAAAGACGAAATGTATGATTGTAAGTAAACAATCAGTGTGTATATGTGTATACAGCGTATGGCGTCCCGCTTGAGCAGGTAGATAATAATACGTACCTGGGCTCTAACATAAACAACAACTGGGATATGAGCCAAGAAATCAAAATTCGTATAGAAAAAGCTATAGCGGCTTTTTTTCGGATGAAGAAATTGCTACGTCTAAGCTGGGTTGACAGAATCCACAACGAACCAATATTGGAGCGTCTACATAAACAACCTGAAATCATTAAAACAACACCGTTTCTTACAGTCTTCCATTTCAAGTGAGACACTTAAAATGATATCCCTGTACAATACGAAGTATCGTATTTCATTCGAATATTTGAATATATTTATCCTCTTCCCCGGAAAATACACGAAGTCCCTGCGAAACGTCTAGCGTGTCTATGGCGCGCTTGCTAGTTTACGTCTGGCGAATTAACAAGGTGCGGAATCGGTAATAGGATTAGCCGCGCCAAATTTCAATCCCGTGCGTGATTGATGCGAACTTCTGCGGAACAGCCGGAGTTATTTATAAGTTGACGCGACTCACGTCTTTAGATTTATGGAGAGTCTTGGAGGAAAAGCGACACGAGAACGAGATGCTCCGATTCCGCGTATTTCCTGGGAATAAATACTATATAGAAATGGCGAATGGGGTCGAGAATAACTTACGTCTAAGGTGCAGGGATGCAGTTCTGATATCGCTATCAACTTTGGTTAGTTTAATTTTGCTTTGGGTTTCTTGTCCATTGGTCTCTAGGAGTTCGTCAAAACTCTCGGGATCGTTGTCTTCTCTTACTAAGTTTAGTAATCTGCAACGTTTCTACAAAAGATCTCGTGTAAAATTAAATATTTTACTTGACCGCCTGTACGTCTTACACCGAGAGACATTAAGCATGATCGATTGGTGCTACCAATTTAACAATTGTCTGACATTTCTGTCGTTTCTGTATGTTGTTTATACTGGAGTACATCCGACATCATTGTCCCCGTTCTGCAGACAATAACCGTCGTGTACGACAATCATTAAATTGTTGAATGTATAAACACGCAACACTGGTCCCGCATTGCGTCGTTTAGGGCGCCTACGGTCTCCTACCGCCGTGAACAAGGCTTTGTGGGTACCGGAAAGGGGTGTCGGACAGATTCCAATTAATACCGACAACGGGACAGGCCCTTATTAGATCAAACACCGCCTTTAGAACTTCAGAACAAATTCCTTAATCGATACCACTCCTTTGTCCGCTTTCATCTTCGACGGCAAGTATTTTAATTGTTATACTTTTTATAAAACTTCGGGATTCTTCCTGCGTCGATTGTTGTTGTTGCTAACGTTTCGCCAATCATCCTGCTGGCTCCTTCAGAGCTTGACGGAAACTGGCTCGCATATTATTCTGTATTTGCTGTTATTTTTTTGCGACGGGCGGAGCTAAATGAGGGGCATAAACATCGTATCGGATGACTGATTCCCGTCGAGGTTGCTTATAGATTTCTATAGACTCTCGGATTTTTCGTTGGTAGAAGAATTGATTTAGTTATATCGGTTTCTGATATTTTTCGTCCGGTCTCTCCAATGTATTCTTTGCCGCATATGGAATGCTGTAAAATGCTGGTATCTCAAATGCAATTTTGTCTTTGACGGATCGAAGATGTTGACAGATTTTTGGATAAGTGGTAAATCTGGTTTTGGAGTTATACTTCTTTAGAACTTTTGATATGTGGTGAATATAAGGACAACAGTCGCAAGTGTGGAGTGTATTTTGTGATGGAACGCTTAAGATCTTTAATAATATAAAAGCGGGCATAGAGTAAAATGCGAGCCAGTCTCAGTCAAGCTCTGAAGACGTCAACAGGATGATTGGCGAAACGTTAGCGAGTTCGAGTTTATAAAATATATTACAGTAGCCAGTGGAAGTTTCTTTGAAAAAAAAAAGTTGTTACCAGCAACTTTCTCGTTATTCTATGGTCGTTTTATACTTACGTGTAATTAGGCATTTTCTTACTAAGATAAACAAATCCGTTAGAATAAATGCTCTCAAAGTAGTGAGAGTGTGTAGCCAATGCGGTACGGTGTTCCACAGCGCTCGGTTCTCGGGTCTTTGTTATCCACCATTACGTAGAGGCAGAGACATTGTTCACTCAGGACACAAGCACCCGAACTTCAGCTAAACACCCACCAATGCTACTGGATAAAGTTGGTGTGACCATGAGTGAAATGGTTTTCTATAAACAATCCGGTTTCAGATAACAAAAAAATACAAAAAATTGGTCTGATCATATAGCATTATATCTCTTTATTGACCGATACATCAGATTCGTGAACCTTCAAGAAACTTGTGTAGTATAATGCTCTTTTTAAGACTACTTCATCGCTGAACACTGGTTTATTTCAAAGTGTAATGTCCTACTTGCGCTTTGGGTATGGAGGACTCAGAGAAAGATTTCCGAATGGAAAGGAAAGGTATTCGGGTGCTGAGTAATGCAGGAGTCTTTTAATTTAGACATAATGTCGTCCGCTTCTCTCCCCTGTTTCAATCTGATGTCATTTTAGCAATGTTGAATTTGTCAACGCCGTACTAAATAACATACCATATCATAACAAACCTGCTTAAGTAAACAACACTTTCAATGTAACTTGGAGTTTATGTATTTCAAACCTATAGGGCAGCGCACTGTCGACACGGAGTTGTTTTTGAATAATAGAAAGGTTTTTAGGAACCCATTTTGCACTAACCTTATGCATACCCTAAATGATCATGCAGGATTCGACGAACACTTGTATCAGAAAGCTTAGTAATTTCTGAGATTTCCTTGACCTTTAAACGTCGATCACTCACCCACCTCTTTCACAATCGCGACAATATCTTCCGTTATGACCTCCACTGGTCGACCAAGTCTTGAATCATCTTCAAGGGACTCCTGCCCCATTCGAAAACGTTTTGCCCATTTTTTCACTACAGAATACGAAGGAGAAGTTTGGCCGTACACACCATCCAGCCTTTCTTTAATAATTTTAGGTGCTAACCCTTCTTTTGTCAAAAACTGTATGACTGCTCTACACTCAATTTGCGACATTTTTTCGTACATGTCTTGATTAAAATGCTGTCAATAAAAAACTATTTGACGCAAGACTTCAATTTTTTTTTCGCAGCATACTGAGATATATATTTAAAAGAAGGTAAAGTTTTATCGTGATACTGGAGCTGCATCTATGTGAGACCGGGAAATTTTGGCGCTAACCTCGTACCATTGGTACCACCAAAACTAACTTGAATTATTAATAAAGTTGTTCATCATGGTTAAATCAGCATCGAGATATTTCATGTATCAAACTCAACTCTCTGAGTTAGGTGCATTTTCCGCAGGTATTCGTGGTCCAACACGTCGACGTGTGCATGTTCAGCAACGGAAAATTCAAGAACGTGGTCGCCATGCACACGGATAAGGAGAGCTGTCCGATCCCGCCCAACGGTACTCTCGACAAGACTTATATCCTTCTTCCCATTAACAGCATCACGAAAAACTGGATAGCTCTCGAGGACTCCTACTCCAAGTCCAACACATATCTGGCTTCGACCGTGTGTTCGATAGCCAGCAAACCTGAGGAAAGGAACGTCTTTGCCATTTACGTCTCCTATTATGTCAAGGTGAAGCTCATGGTGAGCGTCATGGGAGGTGAAGTGAGCCTCAAATTGCCATTCACTCTGATGCATACCTGCGACGAATCCGAACAGAATTCGACCCTGACGAGGGTGCAACGCGTCGAAAGCCGTTCAGCGCAACGAATCGCGCGCGACGACATCAAACCGGAGAAAGACGGGACGTGAGACCAAGAGAAGGTAAGCCCTTGAAATGATATCTTTAAAGTGCTCAAATTCTTATCTGCTTTGGGTCTTGTGTATCAGACTGTTTTCCTGTTTGGATTAAATGTGTTCTGCCTCCAGCTAGTCTACCACTAATCCAGCTCCCTAGCAACATTCTTTTGTAGAGCCCACATTTCAAATGCTTCTTTATTTTTGTTGAGTTCATGTTTCGATTGCATACTCAGATATAACATTTTAGTATTTCAAGCCTTATGGAGATTGAAAGCTTCGGATTTCAATACGTGTTTTGATCTCTTTTGAGTGGTCCAGCTGGAAATTCAATTCCCTGCCTAGGTAGGTGTCATTATTTACACTCCTACCAATCCACAGCATCTTCTGCATATCTTGTGTTGTTGATTACGTTAAAATTTATTTTGACACATTGAATGAGAGGAGGGAAAATAGGCGAATCTCTTTCTTTGTTCTTCTTAAACTTTTCCGGAATCTACATTGAAATCGGTTTGGGTATTCTTTACAGCTGTGTAGATGCGGTTGGATATGATTCCCGTGACTCGTGTCATCGTCACATTTCCTTGATTTTATTTTCAAAGTCTCAAAGTTACAAAGTGTTCTGCCAAGGTGGCATTTTGTCTCGAAGCTTTGTTGCACTTTTAATTAATGCGACTAATGCGTTGGAATCGGGTTGAAAATCTGTATATTCACATTTAATTAGCTAATTTAATTGAAATTCTACTATTGGGAAATAAAAACTATTATATGCAACGATGCAAGAGTTCGATAGCTGGACTACGTCACAAAACTTGATGAGAAAATTGCCGAAACGTTGCGTCACGTTGTTGCAGGTAGTAGTAGAAATAAACAAATCGGAGTTGCACCAAGGGGGCCCCGACGGAGAGCCCGCTTGCACGGCCCCACCCGACGACAGACCAGCGGCGGCGAAACCGACCAGCGACTTGGACGCAATATTGCCGGCAGGCAAAGAGGAGACCAGCGAAGAGACCAACGGAATATCCAAACGCGGACTTACTCGAAAACAAGCGGAGAAAGAGGAAGACGATAGTGGCTTTAAATTATACCGGGCGTGGTGTTGTCTTAGGACTCGAAGGACGTCGTAGTGACGAAGTGTCTGTTTAAGTTTACGTCAATACAAAAATATCGCCGCAGTGTTGTAACAAATGTTTATGTGACCCCCTAATACAGTCCGGACTGACTGTGAGATAATAAAAGGACGTGTTGAACCGAACCAGTCGACGTTGTTTATTTCTTCCTTCGTATTTTTTTCCTTGGTAAGTAGGTAACGGAAAATCAGGAATGCAACTTGAATAGGAACGTCAACTTTAGAATAACACATAGGCACTGTTCTAAGGAGTGCTCAAGGTGACCTTATTCTCCTAAGCACTGCGGAAACACCTCAAAGAATGATTATGATCAATGCTATTACTCCCCAATCGCCTTCTGACCTAACGTGGCAGACCAATGCTACAATTCGCTATTTTCTTTAAGATTCTTTCTAGTTTTAGATGATTGAGTATTATGACAGGTTTTAGCACACCTTCTATAAAGGCTGTTACTAAGGGGTGTTTTTTCTATGTATAGAACTTTAAGTTGCAGTAAAACAACGATGGATTATTCGATTGACGTGAATTTTATTTATCCGAAAGATAATCTTGTGGCATTACATTTTAAATATGATTTCTGGCATACGACCGCGACGGCTGGCGCGGATGTAGTCCAATTTTCGATGACTTTTTCCAACATTTGTGGCCGTATATCGGCAATAACACGGCGAATGTCGTATTCCAAATGGTCAAGCGTTTGTGGCTTATCCGCATAGACCAATGACTTTACATAGCCCCACAGTAAGTAGTCCAGCGGTGCTAAATCACAAGATCTTGGAGGCCAATTCACGGGTCCAAAACGTGAAATTAGGCGGTCACCGTGTCTTTCAATAAATCGATTGTGGCACGAGCTGTGTAATATGTTGCGCCGTCTTGTTGAAACCACATCTCCTGGACATCATGGTTATTCAATTCAGGAATGGAAGAGTTAGTAATCATAGCTCTACACCGATCACCATTGACTGTAACGTTCTGGCTATCATCGTTTTTAAAGAAGTACGGACCAATGATTCCACCAGCCCATAAAGCGTACCAAACAGTCAGTTTTTTTGTGGACGTCCAATTTTCGACTTTTTCTAACATTTGTGGCCATATGTCGGCAATAACACGGCGAATGTTGTCTTCCGAATGGTCAAGCGTTTGTGGCTTATCCGCATAGACCAATGACTTTACATAGCCCCACAGAAAGTAGTCCAGCGGTGTTAAATCACAAGATATTGGAGGCACAGGTAAAAAAAGTTAAATTAGGCGGTCACCAAACGTGTCTTTCAATAAATCGATTGTGGCACGAGCTGTGTAATATGTTGCGCCGTCTTGTTGGAACCACATCTCCTGGACATCATGGTTATTCAATTCAGGAATGAAAGAGTTAGTAATAGCTCTATACCGATCACCATTGACTGTAACGTTCTGGCCATCATCGTTTTTGAAGAAGTACGGACCAAGGATTCCACCAGCCCATAAAGCGCACCAAGCAGTCAGTTTTTCTGGATGTAACGGTGTTTCGACATACACTTGAGGATTAGCTTCGCTCCAAATGCGGCAGTTTTGTTTGTTGACGTAGCAATTCAACCAGAAGTGCGTTTCATCGCTAAACAAAATTCGCTTATGAAAATCGGGAACAACGGCAATCTCGTTTTGAGCCCATTCGAATCTACGCCTTACTTGATGAATTCATGATGAATTGTCGAACCAAACCGAGAATAAATCACCTGACAGCTGTTAAATCGGCCGCCATCTTGAACAGTAATGCCAACTTAAAGTTCTATACATCGAAAAAAAAAACACCCATTATATTCAATTTGCTCCCAATTTTACTTATCTTGTAAACAATTAATTAATAAACATCATAACCTCAAAAACATATTTCATAATTCATGATGCCTCGAGAACATTTATTTGATGCTTTAAGGTTTGTTACTTTCGAAAAATCGATGAAATCGAATTTTTAGAAAGTATACGCGCTCCTCGCTACACTCGAGGTCTGGGTAATGGTAGGTCCTAGAAGACCGCCATTGGTACACAAATGATCAGCGTCGAACCATTTTTTTTGTCTGTCCGTTCTCCGTTGTCTGTTCCAGGGTTTCTCGACGATAACTTCCGAACGGTTTGAGCTACACGCAAATAGCGTTTGATGTCCCCTAACGGACCCTTTGAAATTGGGGGGTTGGGGGCCGAGAAGTATTTTAAAACAATTAAAAACTGCGTTCGCAGGGGTCTAAGGAAAAGATCATTTCTCGAAAACTGTTCATGGAACCGAAAAAATTCTTGAACGAAAACACGTAGAAGATTTGGCTGCATAAACTTTTATTCTTGACACAAAAAAAAACAGAAAAATGGGTCCCCCTATTATTGAAAATTGGCGATAAATAAAGGAATGTGTTTCAGATATTAGTCTCTTTTACATGGGAATAAAGCTCGCATACACAGCTAAAACTTTTTTATTTAAGATTTTCACCTGTTGTACAGAATGTTCGCAATATTTCATGCAATATTGAAAAACGTAAATTATAGGCAAACATCTACAGGTTCAAACAGTATCATAGGCAGCATGAAGAGCTACAATATTTGTGCTTGCGGGTTTTGGTCTATCACATACGCTGCTCGGGATATATGAAAAAATCCACGTTAAAATCACTGTCAAGGAGCGATGACGTCATTGATTATTACGGCGCACTGCATGGTTTCAGGAAAATCTTATTTTCTCGAAAACCATTTTAGAAAAATTCTTGGACTGGGAAACGTGGAAAATCCAGGGCTATTATTTGAAATATGTACAGGGTGTGTCTGTTATGGTTTAAAAAAAAAGACCCCGAAAATTTCCATTTTCGTGGATAAAATAAGCCGTAATTGAAAAACTATAAAACCTGGGATGATTTAGTTTAAGCAGTCTCGAATTTTGTGTCTAGAGAGAGAGAGAAAGAGAGAGAGTTTCAGGTTTCGTCTATCAGACAGGGTGCGTGAGATGCTTGAAAATAATATCATTGGAAAACGTTATTACTTGTACAATTTTTTATATTTATCAAAGTTTGTTGTGACTTTGAAGTTCGGCGATACAATAAAATTACATCGATTTTGCGAAAGTTTCATAGTAGTATATAATAATACCCTGGCTGACCATGCATACGTTCTGTAGAATCCATGAAATGCGGAAAGTCATTTACATGAATAATAAACGACAGAGTGGGCCTCCAATCACTCATTTCTTAAATAAAAAAAGTAGGCTAGCGTGGTCTACTAATCTAAAGGGTTCCCTTTTTGTTTAGTATAGAACAAATTCGAACTCTGACCAGAAACCTAGCTAAAAAAATCTCAACGGTCGTCACATAGGTAAAAAACGCTTTATACAGGGTGTATGCAGAATAAAAGTACACCGATTTAGCGAAAGTTCGTTAGTGGTCAGCAGGAGCACAATAGAAAAACGTTGCGAAGCTCTTTCTTTTTAAAATAAAAAGCTGCTTCGCGCTAGGCGCTACGAACTTGCTCCGCTCACCGACGATTTTTAGAAAGCAATCTTGTTAAAAATCCTGAACACCAAAGGTAATGTAATGTAAACATTTTGGACTCAATATTATAAAACTTAAATTTGGTACTTACCAAACTTGTAACGCCACTCAAGACTATGAAAACTCTAACAAAACCTTTTATAAATATCGGTTACCTTATAATAAAACCTTAAGATGCGAAAATTTTAGTTGGGTTGTTTCATCTCCGACGTTCTTTATCCTCCAAAGTTTCAATTATTTTGCGCCGCGTTTCGTTGTATCTCGGCCGACAGCGGAGGACGGATGGAGCGATAACGCCTGGTAAGTGGTCTGGTTCCTCTTCCGAACTCAAAAATCGGAAGCCGATGAAAACGTATAAATCATAAATAGCGAAAGAGGAGCGGGGCGGGATACAATTACCCCCCCATTGTTTGACCCGTAAGCCGCGGAGGGAATATGAAGCCGGCCGACGTAATACGATTTTCCGTTCAACAATGGCGGGGGTGGACGTCTACGTTTCGAGGAAAACCTCCAAGTTTTAATTTGGTACCCCCCGTGCGGCTCGGAAAAGCATCTCTCTTTGATCATTCGATGAAGGCACAGGCAGATTACACCATGAGAGACGTTTCCAAAGATGTAAACAGAAACATACAAAAGCAAAAAGAGAAGAAGGACGTAAACGATAATGAAACAGATCCAGAAGACATGTGGAGAAATTTCAAATCGGGAATGATAGAGCCGTGCAGAATATACCTCAGATCGAGCAAGCGGCAGAAAAGACAGAACTGGATGACGGACGAGATCCTTAAGTTAATGGAAGAGAGAAGAATAGTCAAAACCTCCGACCAGAACATGTACTGAGAGCTGAGAAACAAAGTAAGGTATGAATGCCGACAAAACAAAGAAACATGGCTGAAGAGTAAGTGCACGGAAATAAAAGGATTAAGATTATAGACAATAACGGAAACATTGTAGTAGATATCGAGAGACAGATGCTACAATGGGAAAGGTACATTAAAAACTTGTTCGATGATCAGAGAGTAGAGATACAGGCTATTACTGAAGAACAAACGGGGCCTACGATTCTGAGAGAAAAGGTAAAATGGGCAATAGAGACAACAAAAGGTGGAAAAGCTCTGAGTCCGGACGAAGTACCTGTGGAGGTGTTGAAGCTGATTGAACACGAACATTTCAATTCTATAACAGCACTATTCAACTGAATATACATAACGGGGAATCATACCCACGGAATGGCTAGAATCGACCTTCGTTTCAATACCCAAAAAGGCAAATGCAAAAAGATGTGATGAATACCGTACAATAAGCTTGATGAGGCACACACTAAAAGTATTCTTGAAAGTTATATACCGCAGAGTATTTCAGAAATTCGAAAATAACATCTCGATTCGGTTGTAGAAACGGATACAGTACTAGAAGTGCTAAATCAGAAAGCCTTGGCTCGCGAGACATCAGGATCATTGTCAACCTTTACTTAAATCAGAAGGCAACATTACGAGTGCAAGAAACGATGACTGATTTAATAGAAGTCAAACGGGGCGCAAGGCAAGGCTGTCTCCTTTCGCCGCTTTTATTCAACATCTGAAGAAATATCCACTAGAGCCCTTGTATGCGATTCGGGAGGTATCAGAGTAAATGGCAGATAATTAATAACTTGCGCTACGCAAACGACACTGTTATTTTTGCTTAACATATGCATGATCTACACGAACTGCTAAATAAGGTCATCACTGCCAGTCGACACTTTGGTTTGGTCAAAGCGGGTTCCAAAATATAATTATTTGGGTATAAATAT